ATGCAAACCAGAAAGATTAGCAGTTTGTACCACCAGAAACTGCCAGTCCTATACTAGGAGTAGAGCCATTGGACCAGACATGTATTAACCTGGGTGTGTGTATCTTGGAGAGTCAGGGAAGTATCTCCAGACCCTATCAGGGATGTACACATCACATTCTGTCTGTTTTTTGTTTTTTTTTTTTTGACAGGCAGAGTGGACAGTGAGAGAGAGAGACAGAGAGAAAGGTCTTCCTTTGCCATTGGTTCACCCTCCAATGGCCGCTGCAGCCGGCGCACCGCGCTGATCCGATGGCAGGAGCCAGGAGCCAGGTGCTTTTCCTGGTCTCCCATGCGGTGCAGGGCCCAAGCACTTGGGCCATCCTCCACTGCACTCCCTGGCCACAGCAGAGAGCTGGCCTGGAAGAGGGGCAACCGGGACAGAATCCGGCGCCCCAACCGGGACTAGAACCCGGTGTGCCGGCGCCGCTAGGCGGAGGATTAGCCTAGTGAGCCGCGGCGCCGGCCCACATTCTGTTTTAATGAGGGCACAGTCTCTCTCCTGGGCAGCTTGAGGAAATCATAGCATTACTTGCAGAAGTAGAGGACTTGATGAATGGGCTTGTATTTAACGACAGTGCAAAGGCCCTGCAGAGATTGGCCATGCCAAGAGGGGGATAGGAGAGAGAAGTGTGCCTGGTTAGGAAGTAGGTCGTCTACAGTGTCTTTAACAAAACAAGGAAACTTCAGGTCTGACACAGGACAACTCTGCCTGGCCAGTTTGGTTCTAACTCCCTGTGGAGTTGGCTCCCTACAGAGTTCAACTTCTTCCTGTGCCTCATTCTGCTGTGTTCTCCTTTCTCCCACGGTGTTGCTCCCAAACGCATTCCCTAGTAAACAGTCTGCACACCAGATGTTCCCTTGGAGTTTGCTTTCCAGGGAGCCAACCTCGAACAGGCAGAAATACCTTTCCTATGTATTCAATTTTCCAAAGAAAACACCCATTTAAGCCTTAATGTCTCAGTTTCAATTACAGTATTTTTCAGCTGGGAACTATATATAATTAGAAAACCCTGAGTCTGACATATCATATGATCCCGTTTATATGAAATGTCCAGAGGAGGCAAATCCATGTAGACAGACAGTAGCCTAGTGGTTGCCAGGGGCTTGTAGGTGACTGCTAAAGGATATGAGGTTTCTTTGAAGTGATGAAAATATTATAGAATTAGGTAGTTGACTGGCAGCTGTACAATCTTGTGAATGTAATAAAATGTAATAAATGGCTATTTAAAAAATTTGCATCTCTAAAATTTTAAAAATTTATTTGAGGGGCCCGTACTGTGGCCTAGTAGGTTAATCCTCTGCCTGCGGCGCCGGCATCCCATATGGGAGCCGGTTCTGTCCTGGCTGCTCCTCTTCTGATCCAGCTCTCTGCTATGGCCTAGGGAAGCAGTAGAAGATGGCCCACGTCCTTGGGCCCCTGCACCCACATGGGAGACCTGGAAGAAGCTCCTGGCTCCTGGCTTCAGATTGGCCCAGCTCTGGCCATTACAGCCATCTGGGGAGTGAACCAGTGGATGGAAGACCTCTCTCTCTGCCTTTCAAATAAATAAATATTTTAAAAACATTAAAAATATTTATTTATTTATTTGAAAGGCTGAGTGGCAGAGAGGTAAAGACACAGAGAGAAATCTTCCGTTTGCTGGTTCACTCCCCAGATGTCCACAACAGCCAGGTCTGGGCCAGGCCAAAGTCAGTAGCCAAGAGCTCCATTGTGGTCCCTTACAAGGTCCAAGGACTTGGGCCATCTTCTACTGCTTTCTCCAGGGATATAAGCAGGAAGCTGGATCAGAGGTGGACTGGAACCAGCAGTCTGATATGGGCTGCCAGTGTCACAGGCTGCAGCTTTACCTGCTGCGCCACAACACCGGCCCCTTCTGTGAGCTTTAGACAAATTGACCAGTGTGAAAAGTTTACTTACTCACTCGTCTGTCAAGCACCTTCTTATAGGCCTGACATAATGGAATTGCTGGGAGGTTGAGAAATACAAAGTCAGTGATACATGGACTTTGAATGTCTTGCAGACTAATAAGGCAGACACAGTGTGGCCTTTATCTCCCACCTTGTTATTTCTCTAGAAGATATGCTTGTGCGCATTTGTGTCATTAGCAATAGTTATCGCCTCCATGGAATGACATTTATTTAGCATCAAATTGTCTCTGATGTTGCAGTATGTGCTATATGCCATGCAGGCTAAACAGACTTGAATTCTTTCTCCTGAGTAATTTGCATGTGACAGAGATGACTGTATAGCTAATCATATGAGGTCATTTTAATTTAAAAATAATTTATGAATGAGTATGTACAGGTATCATATTAAGAATGCATATTTGTTATGCTTGAGTGAAACAAATATATCATGTATTTTTAGATAAGGTAAAGTTGACACTGCTCTTCAGTTAATTCTGGAAAATGATCCACTCAGGAATTGCTTGAAAGAGAAGAGGGAGGCAGCGCACAGGCCTGCAGGGGCAGGGCAGAAAAGAGATTTTCAGATTTATGGCAAATATAGCACAAGGTTAGGTGCTTGGACACACGGATCTTTGCTCCTTTGTTTACTACTTAACCTGTCTTAGTATTAAATTAATTTAAGCTCAGTTTCCTCATTGGTAAAATGGGAATAGGGTTGTTCTGAAAACCAAATCATAAGGGAAATATATATATATATTCGCCATATATATATACACTCCATATATATGTGTATGTATGTGTGTGTGTGTATATATATATATATATATATATATATATGGCATGAGCTAACTCACCCTAAGTGGTGTGTAAATAAAGTAATCCTTAGAGGCAAAGAAAGCTCAAAGGTAGAGGAGAACAAGATGAAAACATATCTGTAAATATACCACTTACTTCTTGAATTTTGGGGGGCGGGCATTCATTCTGGGGAGAAAAATCACCCTTGTTCTGATGAGCTCACAGGCCCTAGAATAAAACGAGCCCAAGCTAAATATTGCAAGATGTCTTTAACTTGGAAACTGTTCCTTTAAATAGCAAGTTTTAGATGACCGTTTTTTAATACTGCTATTAGCATTTTGTTTTTCAACATTTGGTCCAAGTTATTACAACAAAGGGCTAGCGAAGGTGTACCTATATATAATAGAGGTTAGTTCCCGCCTGAACGTGTTTGCAAAATGGTGTATCTGCCCTAAGAAGTAAGAGCGTCCAGAGGTTAAGCTACAAGCTGCTCCGGCTGACTGACCGCCACCCTCTTGCTAACCACTCCAGGCTGCGTAGGCAGCCCCGTTGCAGGAGGGTTTCGCTGTGGGTTTGAAATCCCCAGGAGGCAAGAAAGCAGCCCACACTGGCTAACCCATCTCTGAGGAAGCTGGGGTTCGTTGTAAAGACTCGCGGGGACCGGGCCCTGGACTGACCCCAGCACTGCCCGAACCACCCCAACCACATCAGCGCTCCAAGCCTCCGTGTCCCCGTCTGAAAACAGGGGCCGGGCTGGCCGGTCCGTCGTTGCCCAGTCCGAGGTCCAGGGCGAGCCCGCAGGACGGCTGCATGTGCACTCTGTGACCGGTGAGGGAGGAGGGGCAGCACAGGGCGCCGATCCAGCTTGGCTCGCTAAAGCACCCGGTCCACACTACCGACGTCTTTCCCAGCGGGGCACTTTGCCCACAGCGCGGACAGCAGAGAGCCAACCTCAACTTCCAAGGACCGCCCGGGTTGGCCGCGCGCCTGCGTACTGCGGTCCGAGGGCGGAGAGCGGCCCTTCGCCTCCCGGAAAATCGCGCGAGATTCCCCCGCCCTCCGCCTGCCACTCTAGCACGGTGAGTGACGCGCTGGGGCTGCGGGCGTCGGGGTGACCTGGCTCTCTGCAGGGGCTTCTGGTGACGCTGGTGTTATTGTGTAGGACACAGCAGAAGCAGGAGTAGGTCTTTTTGTAAAGGATTGCTGGGGGTTAGCAACTTCCCGTGTGGGCAGGTTGTGTCCGAGGTGCCTCTGGGACTTTGGTGTGACACTTGTTTGTTGAGCTCCTACCTTATGCCAGGAATAGGGGCAGGCACGAAGCCTTGTCCTCTTGGCGCTGACGATCTGGGCAGTGAGGTTGTAAGTCTGGCCTGGAAGTGCAGACTATTGAGGGATTTCCATGGTAGTGGCCAGAGGTGGGAGCCCTAGGGTGGGTCCGCACCCTACAGGCAGCCCACGTGTGACACCTGGGGAGAGGGAGGAGGACCCGCACAGTCACACCAGGCGGGGCCGCAGAAGCATTGGTGGGAGAATAAGCCAGCAAGAGAAGGGTTGACACGTGGGCGGTTAAAGGGCGTTAGGAAGCCCAGGTAATGGAAATAGTGTGTGTGTGTGTTTTAAGATTTATTTTATTTATTTGAAAGACAGAGTTACAGAGAGACGCAGAGCGAGAGCAAGAGAGAGAGAGAGAGAGAGATTTTCCATTTGCTGGTCACTCCCCAAATGGCCGCAATGGCCAGAGCTGAGCTGAGCTGATCCGAAGCCAGGAGCCAGGAGCTTCTTCCGGGTCTCCCACATGGGTGCAGGGGCCCAAGGACTTGGGCCATCTTCTACAGCCTTCCCAGGCCATAGCAGAGAGCTGGATCAGAAGTGGGGCGGCCAGGACTTGAACTGGCACCCATATGGGATGCCAGCGCTTCAGGCTGGGACTTTAACCCTCTCTGCCTCAGCGCTGGCCCCTAGTGTGTGTTTTTGAACATGGCTTCAAATTGGGAGACTTTGGGCAAATGATTTAACCTTGTAGCTCCCTTAGCTCATCTGGAGGTGATGGTGTTACCAAATTGGGGTTACTGGGAGGAGGGGGTTAAACAAGATAAGGAATGTAAAGTCTGTGGCTCAATTCCTGGCACTTGGGAACATGGGAAATGGGCTAAGAGACAGGATATTTCCAAGATCCCATCTGGTTAGGATTAGGGCTTGTGCTCCACTCTAAACGGCCTCTCCCTTATGCAAGACTACAAGGTGGAAACTCAACACATTCTTTATGACCAGCAGTAGAGCCAACTTTCCAGTTGATCATCCATCTGGTATTGTTTTGGAATATTACCCAGTATCAATTAGAAGCTCTCTTAATATCATACCGGGTAAGTGTGTTCTGCTGAGATCCCCCCCACAGACACACTAGGGATTAATTCAACACCTCGCTCTTCTTTCAATTCTTGAACTCGGTGTGTTTAATTTTAGATGTCAATTTTGTGACCAAATCAAGTTCTTTATATTTAAAGATTTATTTATTTGAAAAACAGAGTTACAGAGAGAGAGAGAGAGGGCAAGACAAAGAGATCTTCCATCTACTGGTTCACTCCCCAAATGCCCTACAGCTCAGGGCCTGGAACCTGGAACCTGGAACTCCTGGGTCCACCCCGTGGGAGACCAAGCACTTGAGCCATCTTCCGCTGTTTTCCTAGGCACATTAGTGAGAAGCTGGATCAGAAGAGGAGCAGCTGGGACTCGAACCAGCGCTCACACGGGATGCCAGCATTGTAGGTGAAACCTAACCTGTTGCACCACAACACTAGCCCCAAGTTTTTTATATCTTTAATGTGTTGTTTGTGGGATATTGTGTAATTAGCCTACATTATTAAATTATAGTATTTGACATTTGAGAGCTTTCTAATTTAATACAGAAGGAGGGAACTTTAAAAGTGTACACTTCATGTTGAAAAGCAGTACTTGGAAAAACCTACAGTATGCATATTTTAAGAAAACAAAACATGAAAGTAATTAGAAAAGAGGGAGATATTAAACTTTAGGAAAATGTGAAACTTCATGTGGTATGACTCCTTTGAAAATTTAATCATCATAGTTGTATTGATAACCACTTAAGGATGGTTTAGACCCATTTAATTTGGAAAACTTTGTTTTTTAATTCTTACATAGTTTACTTGATGATTCATCATGTAAATTTTATGGACTTTTCCTTTTTTTTTTTTTTTTAAGATTTATTTATTTGAAAGGCGGAGTTACAGAGAGGCAGAGGCAGAGAGAGAGGGATGTCTTCCATCCCATACAGTACTCCCCAGATGGCTGCAGCGATCAGAGTTGCGCCGATCCAAAGCCAGGGGCCAGAAGCTTCCTCCGCGTCTCCCACACAGGTGCAGGGGCCCAAGGACTTGGGCCATCTGCCACTGCTTTCCCAGACCATAGCAGAGAGCTGGATGGGAAGTGGAGCAGCTGGGTCTCGAACCGGCGCCCATATGGGATGCCGGCACTGCAGGCGGTGGCTTTATGTGCTGTGCCACAGCGCTGGCCCCTTTATGGACTTCTTGGTGGGATGAAGCAACATGCATGCGGTACCACCTTAAAAAGTTGACCTTGAAGCCATTCAAGCCTGTAAATCTAACGGCCAGGCAAAGGTAAGGGGTAAGGAGAAGCGATTGAAGAACAAAGTCAGTGACACCGTGAGGAACAAGCAGAGGACATCCATGGACCAAGGAATGAAGAAACAAAGCAGTGCCAGGAAATAGAAAGGAAGGAGAGACTCAGCATAAGTGGGTGGACCTTGAATCCTGATTCTAATGAACCAACTTTGAGACAGTCGGAATTAGAATACACACTCGCGATTAGATAATGTTAAGGAATTCCCTGTGCTGTTAATTATGTATAATGTGTGGTGTTTATGTTTAAAGTAATCTATTCTCAGACGTGCCCAGCTGGGTGATTTTTAGGTGAAACAAGATTCTGGGATGTCGAGGATTTGCTTTCCGGAGAAGCTGAGAAGTCCAGTGTTTTAGCTGGACAGCCTTGTGTTCAGAAGGAGAGAGTGGATGTTGAGGGCAGCTACCCATTTCTGAGGTTGTAAATCTGTGTGTTCACAAAAGTAAGGAAGCAGCTAGGGTGGGGGTACTTCCCTCTTCATTGGGTCTTCCTGGGTGTCAGAAACAGAAGACATTCGGGTTGTAATCAGGAGCAGGATCCCTCTGCTCTAGGCTGGGTACCGGCAGGACAGCCGGGGCTGCTGTGTAGCCGTGTTTGTAAGAACCTGATGGGGGCTACTGGGGAGCTGGGGACAGAGTGAGAAAACATGAGCTCGGACATGAGGGGGTCGGTGTTTCAGTCCCAACCCCTTTCTTACCTGCCTTCCGATCGTGGGCACGTGCGCCCTCATCTCCTGCGCCTCCTCTCCTGCGCCTCCTCTCCTGCGCCTCCTCTCCTGTAGAGTGAGGACAGGAGGGCATTTACCTCTGTGACCCTGGTATAAGGAATTAGGAAGGGAATCTGTGAATGTGCTCTATAACCCATCATCTCCATAGAAATGCTGTGTTAAGCAAGATTTGAAAATGTATCCCATGATGATTATTTAACATTTTGGGGAGGTATGTTTAATAAATCTGTAATGAAATAATCAGGTACTGTGTAGGATAGCGAGAAATAAGAGTTCAGGGATCCCATGAACTTAGAAGCAAGTTCAGTGGGGACTGTGGTATTAGTAGGCTAAGCCTCCGCCTGCAGTGCCAGCATCCCTTAAGGGTGCTGGTTTGTGTCCTGGCTGCCCCTCTTTCTATCCAGCTCTCTGTTGATGGCCTGGGAAAGCAGTGAAAAATGGCCCAAGTGCTTGAGCCCCTGTACCCGGTGGGAGACCAAAAGAAGCTCCTGGCTCCTGGCTTTGGATTAGCCATTTGGGGAGTGAACTAGCGGGTAGAAGACCTTTCTTGCTATCTCTCCCTCTGTCTGTACCTCTACCTCTCAAATAAATAAATAAATAAATATATTTTTTAAAAAGTGTAAAGGTCTTTTAATAAAAAAAAGAACCTTTGAACATTTGGTTACACTTCAGTTAAGCAGTTAGTGTTTTTATTGCCACTAGATTAACTGGCTAGTTCCTGAGGAATGGATCATGTTGCTTTCTTTTAATCAAGCCTCAGTAGGATGCTTAATCGTGGTGGTGTGAGGATGAATGTGCATGAATTCTCTGAGTTCCAAAACATTCTGCCTCACTCAGTCTTCAATGAACTTGTTTTTATTAGCTAAGAATTCTAATTAGATTTACTCCACACCCCCCACCCCCCATATATTTGCTTTAGGAAACAAATTCTGATAGGAAAGTAGTGTATCCTTTTTGCGACCCTAACTAGGATTTTTCATCTCATTGCTCAGAAACACAGATGGACTTCTTTATCTTTTAAATTTCTGAATGCTTCAAATCTTTTTTGTGATTTAATACTCTTTCTATTTATAGGAGTTTTTCATAGAGAAATCTTGTGAGACCACTGCATAAGCTGAGATGATTGTACAAAGAGTGGTGTTGAATTCCCGACCTGGTACGTATTTGTTTATGAATGAACACCTGTGATCTTTGATAATTACTATAGCAAATGGGGGGATAAAAGCTAATAGGATGTCCAAGTGATAAATTAAGGTGGTAAGAAGTAATGTTAGTAAAGGCATTAGAAGAAGTTCTGCAAACTGTGCAGTATTCAGTTTTTGAAGTGATAACTTATCAAGACTATTTGTTGGTGAAATAAGGTATTTTGGAATTGTTAGAACATTTGAAAGATTATATTACAAATATGTATTGTTCTTCACTGATTCTTGAAATTTTTTTTCCTGTTTTATGTGCAGTGTATTTTTTTTTAAAAGATTTGTTTATTTATCTGAAAGTCAGAGTTACACAGAGAGAGAGAGGTCTTCCATCTGCTGGTTCACTCCCCAAATGGCCACAATAACCAGGGCTGGGCCAGGCTGAAGCCAGTAGCTTCTTCCGGGTCTCCCACGTGGGTGCAGAGGCATAAGCACTTGGTCCATCCTTGGATGTTTTCCCAGGAGCATTAGCAGGGAGCTGGATTGGAAGTAGAGTGGGTAGAACTCAAACTGGTGCCTACATGGGATGCCAGCATTATAAGTGGTAGCCTAACCTACTCTACAATGCCGGCCTCACTTGTAATTATTTTTAAAAAGGAATTTTGAGGGGCTGGTGCCATGGCTCACTTGGTTAATCCTCCGCCTGCGGCACCGGCATCCCATGTGGGTGCCGGGTTCTAGTCCCGGTTGCTCCTCTTCCAGTCCAGCTCTCTGGTGTGGCCCGGGAGGGCAGTGGAGGATGACCCAAGTGCTTGGGCCCCTGCACCCGCTTGGGAGACCAGGGGGAAGCACCTGGCGTCTGGCTTCAGATTGGCGCAGTGTGCCGGCCGTAGAGGCCATTTGGGGAATGAACCAACGGAAGGAAGACCTTTCTCTGTCTCTCTCTCTCTCACTGTCTATAACTCTACCTGTCAAATAAATAAATTAAAAAAAAGGAATTTTGAAGTTAACAACAATATTCAAAAAAACCTGGAGAAAATCAAGTGTGATTAAAGCTCTTTGCAGGGGCTGGCGCTGTGGTATAATGGATAAAGCCACCACCTGCAGTGCCAGCATTCCATATAGGTGCCAGTTTGAATCCCAACTGCTCTACTTCTGATCCAGCTCTCTGCTATGGCCTGGGAAAGCAGTAGAAGATGGCCCAAATCTTTGGGCCCCTGCACCCACTTGGGAGACTTAGAAGAAGCTCCTGGCTCCTGCCTTCAGATTGGTGCAGCTCTGGCCATTGCGACCATCTGGAGAAACCAGCAGATGGAAGACCTCTCTCTCTTTCTCTGCCTCTGCTCTCTGTAACTCCTCTGGCTTTTAAATAAATACATAATCTTTTAAAAAAAACTATTTGCAAAATTTTTGCTAAGTCATTTCTACAAGTTACAAGAAATTTTTTTAGAAAGATTTTACTTAGTAAATATAAATTTCATAGGTACATCTTTAGGAATATAGCAGTTCTACCCCCCATACCCTCCCTCCCACTCCCACTCCCATCCCACTTCCTACTCCTTCGCCCATCCCATTCTTCATTAAGATTCATTTTTAATTATCTTTTATACAGAAGAACAACTCTATACTAAGTAAAGATTTTGACAGTTTGCACCCACACAGACACACAAAGTATAAAGTACTGTTTGAAGACTAGTTTTACTGTTAATTTCATAGTACAACTCATTAACGACAGAAGTCCTGCATGGGGAGCAAGTACACAGTGACTCCTGTTGAAGAATTTTGAAATAGTGTAGATTTATTCATGTCTGTACTGAAACCGAGTGTTCTGAGAGTGACCTTTTAAGGAATAATATTTGCATGAAAAAGTGGCTTTTTGATTTCATATTTTTGTCCATTATCTTAGGGAAAAATGGCAATCCAGTGGCAGAGAATTTCCGAATGGAAGAAGTCAGTTTGCCGGATACTATCAAGGAAGGACAAGTAAAAGTTAGAACTCTCTACCTTTCTGTGGATCCCTACATGGTAAGAATCAGCATGCTGTATCTTGGTACAAAATAATTTTTTTCATGGTATTGCATTTGAATTTTATTGTGTAACCCATTATGATTGGTAAATATTTGAGTAGTTAAGTTTTTTTTTGACAGGCAGAGTTAGTGAAAAAGAGAGTCAGAGAGAAAGGTCTTCCTTCCGTTGGTTCACCCCACAATGGCCGCTGCGGCCGGCGTGCTGTGGCCAGCACACTGCGCTGATCCAAAGCCAGGAGCCAGGTACTTATCCTGGTCTCCCATGCAGGTGCAGGGCCCAAGCACTTGGGCCATCCTCCACTGCACTCCTGGGCCACAGCAGAGAGTTGGCCTGGAAGAGGGGCAACCGGGACAGAATCCAGACCGGGACTAGAACCCGGTGTGCTGGCACTGCAGGGGGAGGATTAGCCTATTGAGCCGCAGAGCTGGCCTGTAGTTAAGTTTTGCTACTATTCTTTGTTCACTAAATTTTCTTGGCAGCCTTATTGAACCATAAACAATTGGGTTTGTTTAACCATAAACAACTAACCATAAACAGTTAACCAAAAACAATTGGGTTTGTTTGTGAACTCTTAAATCTGTTCCATCAATTCATATGTTTATGCTAGTACCTCACTGCCTTGCTTACTGCAGCTTTTTGCTAAGTTTTGAAAGTAGGATGTGTGCGTTTTCCAACTTTGTTCTTTTCCAAGATTGTTTTGACTATTCTTATTTCCTTGAATTTCTCCACGAATTTTGGAATCAGACTGTCAATTTCTACACAGAAACCAGCTGGGATTTTGAAAGGGATTGCTTTGATTCCAGATGCATTTGGGGAGTGTTGCCATCTGTGATGGTTAATTTTGTGTGTAAGCTTGACTTTGCCATGGGATACCAGATATCTGGTTAAACATTTTTGGGATATCTGTGTGGGTATCTCTGGGAGAGACTGGCATTTGCTTGGTGGGCTGAGTAAAGCAGATAACCCTGTCCATTAAGGGTGGGCTTCGTCCAGGTCATTGAGAGCCTGAGTGAAATAAAAAAGTAGAGGAAGATTGAATTAACTCTGCCAGACTGGTACAGCTGAGGCTCTGATCTTCTGCCCTTGAGCTCCTGGTTCTGGAATCTGTCCCATCAGCTGTCTGCTCCCAAGGCATTTGAACTGCACCACTCGGTTTTCCAGCTTGTAGAAATGCATGTTACTTGTGATGTCATTGTCTGGCTTTGATATCAGGATAATATTGGCCTCACAGGATGAGTGGGGTAGTATTTCTTTGTCTTCTATTTCTGAAACAGTTGGTATTAATTTATATATGTGGGTATGCTCGTGTGTATGTATGTAAAATATCATATATAAAAATTATGCATGATTTGGAACTGAGACTATACCAAACAATGGCCGAAGAAGAAACATCCAATCTCCTTTTCTTTTGTCTGGTCACTCAGAAATGCAGTGTGATTAGCTGTGCTTGTTGTTGCTTTTTGGTTCACATTCTTTGCTGCCACATAACTTGGAGGCTGCTTTGCATATACTGATGTGTATCATCCCTGAGGACTGTCTGGAATACAGATATTCTGGGCGAGTTATTTTTTGACCGACATCTGCCTATTTGGAACACTTCATTGTCCCTCTGCCACATATCATTTGTTGCTGGAGAAAATGTTGTGACTGGATTTTTTTCTTACACCTGTCTCATAATGGGGTCCTGACCCATTACTCAAGTAATTGCGCATAGTTCAGAGATCTTTCAAGAACCAAACTGGTAGTTGTTTGTCTTACAAACTGATAAAGTACCTCTCATTCAGGCCTTTGAAACATGGCTTCTACATCTTTTTCTTTTTCTTTTTAAGATTTATTATTTGTTTGAAAAAGTTACAGAGAAGAGAGCGAGAGACAGAGAAAGAGATCTTCTGTCCTCTGTTTCACTCCCCAGATGGCCGCAACAGACAGTGCTGGGCCAGACCAAAGCCAGGAGCCTGGAGCTTCATCCGGGTCTCCATGTGAGTGTAAGGGCCCAGTACTTGGGCTATATTCTTCTGCTTTTCCCAGGCCATTAACTGGGAGTTGGATCAGAAGTAGAGCAGCTGGGACACGAACTGGTGCCCATATTGGATGCTAGCATTGCAGGCATGGCTTTATCTGCTGCACCATAACACCGGCCCTCTAGCTTTCTTACAGTCTAATATTTGGGCCCCCAACAATGGAGAGGAGCTGGGAAGAAAACTTGGACCCCTCACCACAAGTGAGAATTGAAGGGCCAGGCACTGACCCAGGACCATCCCCTGACCTACCCAGACCTGCAAGCAGACCCCACACAAGACCTGGGCCCTTCCTTCTTCCTCCCTCACCTGAACTCTCAGTTCTTTACAAGATTGGTGGAATGTTCCAGTGAAGTTAGCTAGGTCTGGGCTTTTCTTTTTGATACGTTTAAAAATGATCAATTCAGGGCTGGTGCTGTGGCACAGCAGGATAAGCTGCCACCTGCAGCACCAGCATCCATTATGGGCTCCAGTTTGAGTCCTGGCTGTTCCACTTCAGATCCAGCTCCCTGCTAAAGTGCCTGGGAAAGCAGTGGAAGATGGCCCAATCCCTGGACCCCTGCCATCCACATGGGAGACCCAGAGGAAGCTCCAAGCTCCTGGCTTTGGCCTGACCCAGCCCTGGCTTTTGTAGTCATTTGGGGAGTGGACCAGTGGATTAAAGATTTCTATCTTTCTTTCTTTGTCTGTAACTCTGCCTTTCAAATAAATGAATAAATAAATCTTAGAAAAAAATTATCAGTTTAATATCTTTACCGTTATAGATTTTTTTTTAAGTGCAGGGGCCCAATCACTTGACCATCTTCTGCTGCTTTCCCAGGTCATTAGCAGGGAGCTGGATCAGAAGTGGAGCAGCTGGGATTTGAACTGGTGCCCATATGGGATGCTGGCACTGCAGGTGGCAGCTTTACCCACTACTCCACAGTGCTGGTCCCAAGGTCTCTTCTTAATAAGCCACTAATGAGGGGCCAGCGCTGTGGTGTAATGGGTAAAGCCGCTGCCTGCCAGTGCCAGCATCCTATATGGGCACTGGTTCAAGTCTCAGCTGCTCCACTTCTGATTCAGCTCTCTGCTATGGCCTGGGAAAGCACTAGAAGATGGCCCAAGTCCTTGGGTCCCTGCACCCGTGTGGGAGACCTAGAAGTGAAGAAGCTCCTGGCTCCTGGCTTTGGATCAGTCCAGCTCTGGCCATTGCAGCCATTTGGAGAGTGATCCAGTGGATGAAGGACTTCCTCTCCCTCTCTCCCTCCCTCCCTCTTTCTCTCTCTCTCTCTCTCTCTCTCTCTCTCTCTCTCTCTGCCTCTGCCTCTCTGTAACCCTGCCTTTCAAATAAATAAATAAATCTTTTTTTTAAAAGACACTAATGGGGGCTGGCACTATGGCGTGGAGGGTAAGGCAAAGTTGGCATCCCATATGGGCGCCAGTTCAGGTCCCAGCTGCTCATCTTCCATCCAGCTCCCTGGCAACGGTCTGGGAATCTGTCCATTTCATCTAACTCATGTTGTTTATCAGTGTATGGCTGTCCATGGTATTCCTTTATTAACTTTTTTGTTTCTATAAGGTCAGTAATCACCCCCTCCCTTTTAAAGATTTATTGATTTATTTGAAAGGCAGAGTATCAGAGAAAGAAAGAGATCTTCCATTTGCTGGTTCACTCCCCAAATGGCTGCAATGGTTGGGGCTGGGCCAGGCCCAAGCCAAAAGCCAGGAACTCCATCCGGGTCACCCACAAAATTGGTGGCAGGGGCCCAAGTACCTGGGTCATCTTGTGCATGATTAGCATATTAGTGGGGAACTGGATTGGAGGCAGAGCAGCTGGATTCCAACTGGGTATTCCATTCTCATATGGGCTGCGTGTGTCACAGGTGGTGGCTTAACTTGCTGTGTCACAATGCCAGCTTCAAATGTGACTGTTTCAAAACCACTGTAATTTTAGAAAATAGCATATAGAAAAATCAAAAGATAAATGGCAAACATAAAAATTGTCAATAAAATATAAGAAAAATAATGACTAGTTAATGTAGAAAGCTTCCATACATTAATCATGAAAAATTGAAAGTTGGGCAAAAACACCCACAGGCAATCCATCATCTCCTTCTGGATCAGCGTTTGTGTACATGTGCTTTCTGCTTCCTTCTGGCTTCTGGAATACCCTGGTAGAAGAAGAAGATAATCCTGGCCTGGCTGTGCTCAGATTTTACCTGCGGTGCAGACCCAACTGGTAGTGCCACATTGCAACAGGACGCTTACAGCCTGGGGAGGGCTCTTTGTTCCCTCGGATCCATTAGTGGACTTAAGGCTCTGTCTTCCAGTGACACCAGTCATCCTTGGTTATGCTTATAATGGAAAGCAATTTGATTACTCTCTCAGCTTGTTTCTGTTGTTACAGCCGAATAGCACCATCTGGTTAATTTTAAAGAACAGGGGTTTATTTAGCATATGGTTCTAGGGGCTGGGAAGCCCAAGGGTATGGTGCCAGCATTCGCCGAGCGGCTTCTTGCTTCATCATAGCATGGCAGAGGGCATTACTTGGTGAGGTAGAGCAGGTGTGCTAGCCTAGGTCTCTTCTGAAAAAGCCACTAATGGGGGCTAACATTATGACAGAAGGGTAAAGCAATGCTGGCAGCCAGTTCGTGTCCCGGCTGCTCAGTTCCCATCCAGCTCCCTGCTAACGGTCTGGGAAAAGCAGCGGAGGATGACCCAAGTGTCTGGGCCCTTGCACCCACGTGGAAAACCTGGAAGAAGCTCCTGGCTCCTGGCTTTGGCCTGGCTCAGCTCAGGGTGTTGTGGCCATTTGGGGAAAGAACCAGTGGATGGAAGACCAGTCTGTCTCTCTCTTTTCTCTCTGACTTTCAAATGAATAAATAGATCTTTAAAAAAAAAAAAAAAGCCACTACTGCAGTCATGAGGCCCCAACTTTCATGACCTATCTAATCCCAGCTACCTTCCCAAAGCTCTCAACACCACTCCTCTGACCCC